AATAATAATAATAATAATGCACAGATATGCAAGGGATTATATAGGTCTATTAATAATTAAACAAATTAATGTTGTATTTGTTTCCGTAATTTTTCATTAAATAGATTCCCATCATCTGAAAATTGTCAAAAATTCTTATAGCGCCATGTTATAATTTTTACTTAATGACAGTTCCTCAACGTCATACATGGATTGGTATGTTGACTGTGAATGATGAATTGAGAAATATGTGGAAAGAGACGATTGTGAACTGTGTATTGTAATATGTAATTGTATTGCCTAATATTCCAGTAGTTTTCAGTAAAGAAGCATTACGCACTACACTGCGATGTATAATTCCGTATAGGCTTTTACATTCAGAGCCAATTGATGAAAATTGAGTAGCCTAACGCACTGATTTCGCTTCTAAATTTTCTTTACAGAGGCCGTTTTGCGGATATTATACTGTAAAGTGTGATGGAAGATTTCTATTTCATATTGCAGATTGTCTCTCCTGGATGGGGAATTTGTTATTATTTTTATAATACGGTTTGCGTTGAGTTGAAAATTCAGTAGTGCTCTCCTTCTTGATATCTCTACCTATGTGTTTTTTTTTTAAAAGTATTCGTCTTGATCCTCTCCAGAGGGCCATTTTTAGAAAATAGTAACACATTTCATTCTTTTTTTCGCTAGTTTCTTGTTTTTCTCTCTTATCTTACATTGCCGAGTCTCGACGAAGTACGGCGCAATGACAGTTTCTACTCGACATTTAGTGCGGTTAAGGGTGGTAATATTTTACCTCGCAGGGTTGAGAAAAAGAAAGCTAAAGGTTGGGGACTTAGGGTCCCCAAAACTCCAGTTTCTTTCTTCTTACAGGGCAGAGGAGAAGGGGAAGACCAATTCCACAATCCATTTTGCCTCAGACCGCCTTCTGTTTAGAGGGGAAATCTTTTCCATTTTAACCCAAACACTATACTACTTTTATCTGACATTTAGCTTCTGTGCATTGCCGCAGGGAAAAGTGAAAGGCGGAAACTACGATAACAACGTAAAAATGTAGGAATGAGAGGCGAAGAAATTGATGGAATGACGAAAGGTGGCCACAATTGAATTCTGCTCTTTTACGATAATAGATGAATGTCTTGCCACACAAGATACTGTAACGAAGAATTTA